CTATACAACACTGAGTATCAATGACAAAATGAGATGGATCTGTACATTAGCATGAGCATCCAGGTCTACACGAGCAGAAAAACAGGAGCAATTCCACTGGTCACCTGATCTACTCCACGAATTTTTTTTTGCTTCACTCATGGGACGTGGGCACCACTGACAGGCCAATATTTATTGCCTGTCCCTAGTTGCCCTTGTGAAAAGGTGATGGTGAGCTGCCTCCTGAATTGCTGTAGTCTGCAAAGCCCTTAATAAGGAATTCCAGGATTTTGACCCAGTGACAACGAAGAAACGGCAATATATTTCCACACCAGGATGGTATATGGCATGGAGGGGAATTTACAGGTGGGGTGTTCCCATGTATCTGTTGCTCTTGTCCTTCTAGATGGAAGTGGTCATAGGTTTGGAAGGTGCTTTCTGAGGATCTTTTGACAAGCTTCTGCATTGCATCTTGTAGATGGTATACACTGCTGTGACTGAGCATCAGCGGTGGAAGGTATGGATGCTTGCAGATCTAGTGCCAGTCAAGTCTTGGATACTTTGTCCTGGATGGTGTCAAGCTTCTTGTGTTGTTGAGCGGCACCCATCCAGGAAAGTGGGGAGCATTCCATCACACTCCTGACTTGTGCCTTGTAGATGGCGGGCAGACTTTGTGGAGTCAGGAGGTGAGTTAGTCGCTGCTGCATTCCTAGCCTCTGACCTGCTCTTGTCGCCTGTGTTTCTGTGGTGAGTCAATCTTAACCCCCCAGGATGTTGATAGTGGGGCGTTTAGTGATAGTAATGTCAAGGGGCGGTGGTTAGATTGTTTCTTCTTGGAGATGGTCATTGCTTGGCTTTGTGTGGTGCAAATGTTACTTGTCACTTTTCATCTCCAGTCTAGATATTGTCCAGGTCTTGTTGCATTTGAACATGGACTGCTTCAGTATCTGAGAAGTCACAATGGTGCTGAACATTGTGCAATCATTGACAAACATCCCAACTTCTGTCTTTATGACTACTTTCCCTCCATCATAAAGTTATACAACGCAGAAACAGACTCTTTGGTCCAACTCATCCACACTGACCAGATATCCTCATTTGGCCCATATCCCTGTAGACTCTTCCTATTCATATACCCATCCAGAATCCTTTTTAAATATTCTAATTGTACTTCCTTCACCACTTCCTCTGGCAGCTCATTCCATATACTCACCACCCTCTGCATGAAAAAGTTACCTCTCAACTCCTTTTTAAATCTTTCCCCTCTCACCTTACATCTATGCTTTATAGTTTTGGACTTCCCCACCCAAGGAAAAACACCTTGGCTATTCACCCTATCCATGCCTGTCACAATTTTATAAACTTCTATAAGGTCACCCCTCAGCCTCTGATGTTCCAAGAATAAAAGCCCCAGCCTATTTAGCCTCTCCCTATAGCTCAAACCCTCCAATCCCAGAACACCCTTAAATCTTTTCTGAACCCTGTCAAGTTTAATGCCTTCTTTCCTGTAGAACAGTGACCAGAATTGTATGCAGTACTCTGAACGTGGTCTCACCAATAGGTCATTGAAGTAGCTGAAGAAGGTTGAGCCTAGGACACTACTTGTGTTGAGTGCTCTTAGATGGTGAAGGTTATCCCTTTGAGCTGAATGTTCTTCTCAGAATGTATGTGGTAACTTGTTCCCAACTAGTTGTCATCGCTCATTAGTCAGGTGGTTTTACACTTCCTAAAATGTCTATTTGTTATTGAATGACAGAGAAAAGGGGATATTATTTCCAAGTGCCAAAGCTTCAGAGGCTGAAGGGTGACATTGACCCTCTTCCTTGTTGCTTTAGACTAGAACCAAAATATGTCAACAGTTGCTCAGAATTACCTGCTGCCCTGGCCTTTATTCTTCTTCAAACACCATGACATATTCCAAACTGGCCCATCAGTCATTTCGTTGTATTTGTAATAAAGGTGCTGTGCACCATAAGGCTATCTCTGTCTGCAGGACAGTGCACTTCAATGCAATGTGGTAAGTAGTGCTTAAGACATTATTCCAGAAATAGCTCATCAGACTTCACGGTGAGATAATTTCAGATGTCTAGTTTTTGCTGATGCTGCTGTATCCAATGATCAGTATCTCGTTTGGCACTTGTCATTTTGCTGATGGCTCTTTATGAATTCTAATTGTTCGTTAACTGCCTCCATCCCCTCTGCAGCCAAATAACATTGCCCAGAGTTCTCTAGGTTACTACATAGGTGCCACAGCTCTGTGTTTGTTCCTGAGCTATGTGGCGCTGAATATTCCATGATCCAGTCTAGACCCACATTGAGTTAAGAGATCTCAAAGAGGAGGGTAATGGAAATAAATTAGGATTGGAGGGTATAGAAGAAGACAGGTTATTCCTGTGTCTGCATGCTATCTAATGATTCCTGTGTGTTGGTACAGCCTCCCCCATTTCTGAAGAAGGGTCTAGGTCCGAAACGTCAGCTTTCCTGCTCCTCTGATGCTGCTTGGCCTGCTGTGTTCATCCAGCTCTACACCTTGTTATCTCATTCTCCAGCATCTGCAGTTCCTACTATCTCTGAAACAATTTTAACCCCACTGCGAAGCCTCTTCTAAGGATGCCTACCTTGAAGAAGTTACCCTCCTCCCTCTGGAAAGACCTCAGTGGCTCTCTCTCCCACTACAACTCCTCCCCACCTGTCTTCTCCTTTTATCCATCTTCTCTCCGCCTCCCCCTCCCTCCCTATTTATTTCAGAACCCCCTTCCCCTCCCCCATTTCTGAAGAAGGGTCTAGGCCCGAAATGTCAGCTTTCCTGCTCCTCTGATGCTGCTTACCCTGTTGTGTTCATCCAGCTCTACACCTTGTTATCCCAGATTCTCCAGCATCTGCAGTTCCTACTATCTCTATTCATGGTCCAGCTTTGGTTTCCAGGAAGAAGCAGTCTACTCAGAATTGAAAAAGTGTCCAAAATGATTTCCTCTGTGACTGCACTGTTTAGACTGAGAGCCTTTTAATGTCTGGAAGTGTTTGTGGTCATTATGGTCATCTTCCTTTTTATGTACCTTCTTTGCAGTCATAACTTTGTATTCTTCACCTCTGTTCTACCACCCTATGATTTGACTGTACTGCATGCAAAACGTTTCACTATACCTAGGTACATGAGACAATAATAAATCAAATCAAGCATTTCCACTTTACTGGCCAACATTCTGCCCTTGTTTTTTTTTAAAATTGCTTTTTAGATCTTTTCACTTGGATATTAAAGGCTGCTGTGTCCATTTACTGTCCACACTTCAAAAGGTGAAATACTTTTACAGAAGTGAGGCACTCTATTTATTCCTAGCATATCACAACTAGAGTTGCTCTCCAATTTAAATCATTTTGCTCATAACTCCTTGGCTAAACTTCAAGGTTGTTGATGTGTGTCCAGTGTTTCGTGATTGAATCTTAGACTATCCTTTAAAACCTCGCACTTTCCTGAGTTAAATCGCAGCCCACTCCCCAGATATTTAATTCCTAAACATTCCTCTTTTTCAGCAGTTATTTTGTGACTTGATTTGCTTTCTTTCATTATTTATTTCACTGCTTAATGTGGTTTTTGATCATGAAGTTGCAACCAATGAACTAATCTTCAAAACAAAAATCTCAGGGGACCAATGGAGACCTTTTTTCTTGTGTCAGTTCAACTTTTACTTACGCTGTTAGATCAGATGGTGGGGGGGTTGGGGGAGAATGTGGGAGGGTTACCCACGAATAGTGATTTCAGAGGTGGTAATTCCAAAGTATTATGTATATTCACAGAATCATACATATTGCAACCATTCAGCCTGTTGTTTGTGTCACCTCTTTGGAAGAGCTACCCAGTTAGTCCTATCCCAGTCTCCTGTCATTGCTCTGTAGTTTTGCATTGTTCATTTCCTTAAATATTTATCCATTTTGCTTTAGAGAGTTATTTTGGGATCTGTTTCCACTACCCCTTCAGAAAGTGCATTCCAAATCAGCATAACTTGCTGTGTTTTTTTTTAAACAAAAAAAAATGTTTTCAGCTATTTCCCAGCACCAGGCTCGTACCCTGGCAGTATGAGAGAACTCTTCACTCAATAACTTTTTTAAAACAAAATCCTTTTTAAAACTGGCATCACTTATAATTAAAAATGAAATTGCATCCTCTTGGGCACTGGTACTTGTGGATTTTGGCATACACAGGTTTAAAACAAACACTTAACTTTGACAGTGCAAGGTTGACAGTGGCATTAGAAAAGGGGTCCTGACCTCTGTTTGGCAGTTTTCCCATTTGGATGGCACCTGAACGGTTTACCGTACTCCTGAATGCAACGCTGGTAAGAATGCTTAGATCATGCCCCCCCCCCCCACCACCAACTTCCTCTCTCATCCCCAATTTGAATTAACTTGTAAGCACTGAACTTATGAAGTTTAGGCTTGTCTCACCTCTCTTTCACTTTCTTTCCTTCTGTATCGATGTATCAACCCCTTCCCCTTTAATGTGTCTGTGACTTTCCCTGTTGTATTGTTTTTCCCCTCAAAAAACAGAGTTTGCAGCCCAGGCAACCCTGCTCCAGCCCTAGGATTATTCAACTGGCTTATTTTGAAAGCATCAAGATAGCCATATTCTCTGTGCCTAAGTTTGTGCAAAGAAATGCCATTCTGTGACTAAATGCTCACCCATGGAGGAAGCAATTAATTGAAAGATGTTCTCCTAATGTTTCTGATGAATTGTACAACAAGCATTATTTTAAATGAAAGACCATGATTTAGGTTTGATTTAGATTCTTGGAGCTCTGGTGAATACTCAATATCAATGCTGCTGAATTGTTCTTAGTAGAAGTTGTTCGTAGAGGAAGATTTAAGATGGCAGCAGCAGAAAATAGCCAACTAGAGATGACGGAAGGTGATAGAGCACTTAACCAGTGGAGAAGGAAATATACATTGTTATAGTCAACCAATGGGGAGTAATTTTTTATTAAAATAGTAGTCTGTTAATTACAATTCCATTCATGTTTTCAAAGGACTGGATAATAGCCCCGGAAGGATATGCAGCATATTACTGTGATGGAGAGTGCTCATTTCCTCTTAATGCACATATGAATGCGACAAACCATGCGATCGTACAGACACTGGTGAGTAAAGCTCTGGCTAGCATTTAGTTCTGTTGTTGCAACACCTGCCACTGGATTACATGGGGTGGGTGGGGAAGGGGAAAAGAGGGGTTACTGACAGGGCAGAAAGTCCGTGTCACGTTATGGCTGTGAAGGAGCTGACACTATATATGAAGGATTTTGTGTTAAAGTTGGTAATTGTCTTCCTCCACTCCCACAAAAGTTTCTTCATTGGTGTCAACTGAGGCTTGAGATGTCATAGTCCAGCCAGTGCACTCCCCCTTCATACTTCAGAATGAAGACAAACCAAGATGGGATATTCCCCCATGTTGCACCAACCTTAGGGAATTGGATCTGTGATCTACTACTTTAACCGATGGCCCCTTTACACCTTAGATTTCCACTTGCAAATTTTGGATCTAGCATGTATGGTTCTAAATTCTCCTGATAGGAGCTCTGCTCCTTGCTGTGTTCGCTAAGGACTTTATTTTTTAAATCCAGAATCAAGCCACTATCCTGGGACCCAGTCTCCTAGAAGTACAAAGGGCTCCCAAAGTGAGACAAGGAAACAAGTTACCCAGCTTCCCTGGGGAGGTTATTGAAGGCACGACGGATGCATGCAAATTTTGCCCAATCGGGGATGTCTGATTGAAATGCAAGTTGACAGAATTCAATCAAATGCAAGAGAAAAATTGAGCAGATCATTGGTTTTCCCTTTGCAAATGTTCGAGATTCTCATTTTGTTACTTTCTCACCATTGGAGTCGATTGCCTGTGGTTTTACATGGTTGCAAATCTGAGGAGTAGTTTTTTTTAATTTGTTGACGGGATGTGAGTTTTGCTGGTTGAGCCAGCATTTATTGGCCATCCCAATTGTCCTGTAGTTGGTCATAGTGAGCTGCTGCCTTGAATGACAGCGGTCCATGTGGTGTGGGCACACCCACGGTGCTGTTTTGGAGGACATTGTAGGATTTTCACCCAGCAACAACTGAAGGAACGACATGTTCCAAGGTCAGGTTGGTTTGTGGTGTGGAGGATAACTTGAAGGTGCAGTGGAAAGGGCATGGATGAATTTCTTTAATATGTTTGTAGAAAAAAAAGTGTGTTGATGTTTTATTGGCTGTGCGTTTTAAAGTGAAAGGCTAATTGACCTTGGAATCTTAAGCTACTGTATCCTAGTAAAAAAGTGTCAAAAAACAGCAGCTGCAACTTGCATTTCTATAGCAGCCTTCATGTAATGAAATGTCCCATATGTGCTTCACAGTCCGCAATGACATTGTACCTGAGAAGATATCAGGTCAAAAGCTTGGTCAAACAGGGTTTCTTTTAATAAGTCTCTTGTGAGTAAAGAGAGACAGAGCGCTAAACTTAGGGCCCAAGCAGCTGAAATTGCAGCCATAATTGGTTGCCGAAAGACTTGCATTAGATAAGTGCAGATATCTCTAAAGGTTCTAGATTGGAGGAGATCAGAAATGAGGGGGTGAGACCATCGAGGAACTTGAAAACAAGGATGGCAATCCTAACAATGTAGGTAAACTGGAAACCAGTGTAAATCATCAACATCAGGGTGAAGAGGACTTGAAGCAAGATAGGAAAGGGGCTGCAGAGTTTTAGATTACCTAAGATTTATCAAAAGTAGAATGCAGGAGGTAGGGAGCAAATGTTTGAGCAATCAGGTTTAGAGGTGTTTCAGGCATGAATGAGGATTTCAGAAGCAGAACAGCTGATAGTGAGAGGCTAGTATTGGAGGTAAAAATAAACAATAGACGAATAGAGAGGGTGCTACAGTTTGAATGCTTTTGTGATTAGTTAGACGTGTTGTTTAAAAAATCTAATATTTACTTTTCAACAAAGACCAACTTCTTTGTGGAGAGAAGCCAGGCATATCAGCTCCAAAGTAATTGTTCAAAAATTGGCTGTTAGTTCAACAATAAAAGAGGTTTTCCCTCTTGAGAGAATACATGTCATTTCCATGAATGTGTTGTCAAACACAATGACCTTACTAATTAAATTCTGGGTTCCCCAATCATCCTAATGGTTCTTCAAATCCATGGCCATAAATATGGGTTGGGGTTATCAAAGTTATAATTTCCTACTGAGAAACAATCCCTAACCCCTCTGTAAACAGATCAGCTGTAATTCTAGATTTGCTTCCAGTCATAGACTTGTACAGCACAGAAACAGACCCTTCGGTCCAATCTGTCCCCGCTGACCAGATATCCTAAATTAATCTAGTCCCCTTTAACAATATTTGGCCCATATCCCTCTAAACCCTTCCTATTCATATACCCAACTAGTTGCCTTTTAAATTTGTAATTGTACCTGCATCCTCCATTTCCTCTGGCAACTTATTCCATATACCCACGACTCTGTGTGGGAAAAATTGCCCGTTAGGTCCCTTTTAAATCTTCTTCCCCACCCCCAAGCCCCCACTGTAAACCTATGCCATCTAGTTTTGGACTCCCTGGAAGAAGATGTTGGCTATTCACCCTATCCATACTCATGATTTTCTAAACCTCTAAGGTCACCCTCAACCTCCAACATTCCAAGGAAAATAGTGCTATATTTCTCAGGAAGTAGCTCTTCTCACCCTATGCCATGCAATGTCATTTGCTTGCCAAGTTAGTGCTTAAACCCAGCGATGGCACTATATGTTGCGCCTTGTGGTTCTCAAAACTGCACAGCAAAGGTCTAGTCACTTGAACATACATCTGCAACCAGTAGTTAAAATTCCTAACATTTGTGGACTGACTTTTGGGAGGAATCTTGCCATCTTTCAATGTTTAGTATATTTTAAGAGCATCTTTTTATTTAACTTTAGCAGCCCAATATAGAATTTGCTACAACATTGACATTCAAACCATGCAGCAGCTGCTAGAGTTTGACAGAAGTAGATAAAAATGCATTACAGGATGTATCTGAGCATATGTACCTACCTAAACGTTTTGAATTTCTTTGACTATAGGTCCACCTCATGAACCCAGACTACATTCCAAAGCCCTGCTGTGCTCCCACTAAGCTGAATGCAATTTCGGTCCTCTTCTTCGATGACAGCTCAAACGTTATATTGAAAAAATACAGGAACATGGTGGTCAGGGCATGTGGCTGTCATTAAAAGGACAAGAAAGTTCATCTTAATCTGAAACTACTGGAGAGTAACTATATCCTCAGTGCATAGCAATATACATCCTGGAGCAATACCTCTGTAAATATTGTTTACAATTTTTTTTAAAAGAAAAGTTTCTACTTAAAAAGGCTTTTGTAATATATTTTGTACATAGTTTTCATAAAAATGTAATTTATTTGTTTTGGGGTTTTTATGGTAACTTTTTTTAAACTAGGGGCTGTAATGATAGCAGCCACTGGGTTTTAAGAGGGTGGAAGACAGTGCAAGAGATTCAGGAGAAACCTCATACGATTTTACAGCTTCAAATTTGAATTTTATGAAAATCTGCAAGGCCACTTCATCACAGCCCCTGGTTCAGGCACATTGTGCACGTTACTTTTATGAAACATGCTCTGGACAATCATTTTTCTTAAGAAATTTTTATTAGAAATTGCCAAGTAGTGTACACTATTGACAGTCCTACATTTTTTAATGTTTCTTTTTATACAAAAATCTAAGTGCCAACCACACACACACTTACTGCTCCCCTGTCTCTCGAAGAACAATTCATTCTCCATACACACATGCTAACAATAAATGATGTTAAAGTCAAGTGGCTTTTTTTTTTTGTGCAGTTTGTTCACACAATATACAGTTTGACATCTTGCGGCTACACTGAAACACTTCTCTCAAGAATTACCTTGTCAATGGCAACCAGCTTGAATGACTGACTAGCATGTTTGATGTATTCATTAAATTTGAAATCCTTCGACTTAAAACTTACAAAATGAAAAAAGTTAGCTCTTTAGCCACTTCTTTACTGTCTAGTTCTTTAAAATAAATTCAATTAAGAGCAGTGTTTCTGGAGCTATGTATAACATAAGTTGTAACTCGAGGGTGAAATAACATGTTACCATATGATGTGGTAACTGCTACGTTACGCAGTTTTGTTCACTCAAGGGATTTTTAAGTGCTCTTGCTTTTTGGGGAAAAATAATTACAATCCCTATTGGATACTGCCCATACTCTTTTTGACACTATTATGTGTTGTTCAAGTCTTTCACACTCTACACTGTTATTAATCACTTGTTATAAACTGGCTTGGCTTCCTTTTTACTAACTTGTGCAGGTGAATGTGGCTTGAAGATGTGCTGAGGTATTCTTGTTTAGTTTTCTTCCCACAGTACTATAATTACTAACCAGGTACATTTGATATCCCATGATTGTCTGATAACAACACATGAACCACATCCACTGAAGTGTTAAAAGATGGCAGATAGGGATGATAAACAAGCAAGATCTCACCATTCAGTACCACATACTTAGAAGGCACCACTATATGGTGAAAGCTGAAGCCAACTCCGTCTTCCAGAAGGCTGGTAAGTTGGCAACAACCTTTATGGATATACATTGATGACCATGAAAAAGATTACTTCAAAAAAAACACAATCTTGTAAACAATGACACGAAGTGGTGGTTGGACCAAAAAATAACATGTTTTATAGTTCATCCCTGGCTTGCTGTAGGACGTAGTCGTGAAGAGCTTCCAAATCTCTTGCTCCGTTGTATTCACTTAACTGCTGACCACCACGGAACAGCAGCAATGTTGGATAACCACGGACCTTAAAACAAAAGCACACATTTAGTTTAAGTTTTCTCTTTTGTACACATACTTACAACAAGAGTGCCAGTTCCCAATACAAATATGCCACTGGGAACTATCTGCACAGTTATATCCCTAAAGTCAGGTCAACTCTTTCTGCCCATGTAAACTTTTAACTCAATCCTTTTAAGGTCACAAACACAAATAAGGGAACAAAATAAAACCTTCCAGTCACCCTATTTTCTGGGGAAGGAAACCCTGAAAGTTTGACGTCTTACATTTACTAAAGTGCACTGATTAAAATTATAAAAAGTGGCTAGTAAAGTAGCACATTCCATTAGACTGGCTTCTGGTCTGAGACAATACCAGGGGTATCTTCCATCAATTTTACCTTCTCCTCAACTGTTTGCTCAGTCAAGTGATTACAGGGCTGGCCTGGAGGAGGAGGAGGAGGAGGAGGAGTGGTACTAGAGGTAATAGAAAATAAGTCATGGTAGACTACCCAGCCTCATCCTCTACAAATACCCTTTTGTGTGAATGTACACTATTTGCAATCTATAATGTTACCACCCCCATCCTAAAATGTATCTTGTGACTCATTCGGTCAATTAAAAATTTGCAAACACTGATTTTTGTTTAGTTGAAGCACCAAGTGATGAGAAACCAAGGCTGTATGTCTGATTTAATTTCACGATCTCTAAATGACATAATGGGCTGAAGGTCTTGAGTGGAAGTAAAGCTATAGAATAGTGGGTGTATAAACCATAGAATATTAAATTCCATCCTGTGCTTTAAAACAATAGAAAACCACTGATACCTATTGCTTATACGTTATTCACAGGTTATTTTCTAGCTGTCTAATTTCTCTACAAGTGGCATGCTTGAATTATTTCCACCGGCAGTTATGGTGATGTATTCGATGTTTGCTTCTCATCTTTTTCTGATCCTACATTTATATTGCCTTACTACCTGTTTCTAGAATCAGCCACTATTATGCTGACTTGAGTGCTTATTCAATTTTCCCCTTTTAACCTTTTTTCTATTGAATTTAGTTGTATGGAATATAATCCTCCTCTTTCCTAATTTCTCAGTAGAACTATAACCACGTATCCCTGGCATGATCTAATCTGAGTCTCTGGAATTAAAAGCTACATCCCAGTACTTGTAACCTGGTGAGATGTTTGACCAATTTGTTTATAGCCAATCGCACAGTCGCATTTGCTTTAATCAACCTGTGATGTTTTTTCCTCCCTCTACTCCATTGAGAATTTTTTCCATTTTTAGTTTTTAATCCTTTCCCCACTACATAGATGACAACATCATCGTTGGGAACTACATTTGGAACATTAAGACTTTCACTACTGAATCTGTGATATCAAATTGTAATGATTTTAGATTAGGATATTTTTTATTCCATGCTTAAGTCCAAATCACTTGTGTTTAACCGTAACTATTAAACCACATTTAACAAGCTAGTTAATCCCTGCTGTCTGTGGAAGAGAATTTCAATGAAAGCTGTCATTGAACACATTTCAGTGTTGAGTTAGATTTTTGACCCACAAAGTATTTAATTCAACTGAATGGAGGGCCTTAACTCTCAAGTTGAGAATAATTGGTGGGGAAGAGGTACGTGGTGTTAAGGCTCTAATTAGATTATTCATTATCTTATGGCTCAGGGAGATGAATGGCTTACTAAAGCCAGACCTATTAAAACCCAATCTTTCAGAAATAAAATTAGGAAATAAATCTTCATGGAACATAGGGCAGAAAACTGGGGCCGTCTTTCTCAAAAGGCAATTGATTCAAGATCAATTGCTTTAATCCAAATCAATTTCAAAGTTGATAAAACCAAAGTATTATGTGATACAGAAAAAAAGAGGCAGGTAAATGGAGTTTGATTGCATGCCAGCCAAGATCTTTCGTGGCCAAACAGGCTCATGGGCCTAAGTGGTTTCCTTCTGACCCTACAGCTGTCTTAGATCAATCATAAAAGTTGCACAAACTGACATGGGCATAAATGGCATCTGCTGCCAAGAATGTGGCATCTGTCTCAACTCAGTTCATCGCATGGATAATCTCTTCGTAGCTCTGGTCACGAGCAAAGGATTCCCTATTTACAACCTCAATCTAGGAACACATGCTGGAAACTGACTTTGCTGAGACACCCCTTGTGATCAGATAACCTGTCAACATCTATTGTCACTGTTCACACATTGCTCATACTCCAGTCAATGCTGCTCAAACTATATCCCAGCAGGTTGATCCTTTGCAAAGAAAGCAAAGACAGTAACTGTCCTCTTGATTATTTCTTTAACTAGTACCCTTTCTCATTTCTAACAGACAAAATAATATTCAAGATTATTTAATTAAGATGTTCTTATAGGATTTATAATTAAACAGAAGCCTTTGTGATCTTGCACTACTCAGTTTTTAATATTTAAAGAAAAGTGTGATACCCTGGAGAATTAACTGATATCCCAGTCCCTGATATTCAATGTTAACCAGAACTACTGCCCTTTCACCAAAATAACTTTTTCCAGTCGACTTAAACAGTTTCCACCTTGAACACAATGACCAGCAGTACAGCACTAACAAATTGGCACAAGTGGTGCTGAAGTGTGTCTCTATTAGCCTAGCAAATAGAACAAGACCCCACACCCCATCCCTGCCAGGACAAAGACAAAGCACAAAGCACAATCTAACCCATCAAACATGAAGACAGCTTGCAAAACTATGTTATTTTTCAGGGATGTTTTAGGTTCTGGATGGATGTTCCAATTGTTTTTAGACTGAAAGAAGAACCATGGAAATGTTACTGCACAGGAAGCCTGCTGCATCTGCACTAACTCTCCAAATGGGCAATTTACTTACCAACATTCTCCTGCCTTTCCGTCGTAACACTTCACATTCTTCCTTTTTAAAGACAAGTCTAATTCCCTTCTGATTGCATCAATTGGACTTGCTTCCAAGACTCTTGGCCAGTGCATTCCAGACCTTATCCACGCACTGCATGAAAATAGTTATTTCCTTATGGTGCTTTTGCCTCTTACTTTAAAGATGTGCCCCCTCATTCTTAATCCTTTAATGAATGGGAAAAGTGAATACATATCCTGTCCAGGTCCCTCATGATTTGGAGTGTCTGTCAAGTCTCAAAGGAAAACAGTCTAACTTCAGAACTGAAGTTCCTCATCCCTGGAACAAAAACCCTAGCAAGGAAGTAAGTGACAGGGAAGAGGTCTGTCAACTTAAAATATTGTCTATATAGTTTCAAACCAAAAAAGCATTTATTCGTTCTCTACTTAGCTTGTACTAGACCTGATGTTTAACATGCAATAGTCTATCAGTGAGCAGGTCTTACTGATGGAGGTTCTTCATGGCACTGAACAGTATTCCCAACTTGAGTGAGAAAGTTAGCCATGAGTAGTTTTGTATTTTACAGCCTTTGCAACCGTATCACAAAATCAAATAAAGCTTGTATTATTTTCCAAAACATTGGTTTTAATGTTGCTGCTTTGAACTACATGGAAAAATGTCAAAAGGTGAAAGGAAAATCTTCTACCAATTACTAGTTTTCAACATCTCCGGGTAACAGTTTCTTACTCACCGAGAACTGATTGCAGAGGGAGCGCTGTTGAGTACAGTCCACTTCTGCAATTTTGATATCACTTAAACCCGGAAACTCCCGCTTGGCAAGTTCCTCCCAGGTCGGTGCTAAACTCTTGCAATGACCACACCTGTTGATAAAGATAGTGTGTGTGGGTTATGGGCGGAGGTGCTTATTGTTGAACTATGAACATTCTGCCAGGTGCTTAGCTGTTACTGTGAATAGGTTCGGAGGGCCCTCTTCAAGGATCTGCCCCATCTTTTACCGAAAGAGAGTTAACCCACAGTGGAATAGAAACAGTAACAAATGCAAAAACATCACCTTAAGGATTGTCTTGAATTCCCTTATCTGTGAGAAATTATCTTACCAGGGAACCCTTATGAAAACCTACACTGACTAAATGACAAACGATGTAGAGGTACTGCTAACGTTCAAAGTTCCAGTTATTTATCTCACTGATTGAGATACTGCATTCTGTTCTGGAGAAGATTTAATTGTCCAGCTTCTGCTGAAAAACCCTTTATTCAGAGACATATTGTTGTCATTAGGTCAATATTTATTCGAGGGCTAAACATCTCACTCAATGCAATGTCAACATCACCTTTATGAAATACACAGGCTGTTCAGAAGAGTGGTGCCAATGCAATTGAGATTAGCAGCAGGTGGCATGCAATCTCCATCACCCAAATCTCGCTTTCCCATAAGCACCATTTGTAATCACTACTGGGTACACTGTAATACTATGTGGGGCTTCCACACAGAAATTCCTGGGCTGTATCATTGAGTCAGAAAGTTTCTCAAGTCCTGCAGTAACACCAAAGCTTACAAATTGAGTCTGGGACACTGCAGTTGTGGGGGACTGCAACACCTTTGTTTAATTCTACCCATTCAGGCAAATGTTGATGATCTCCTGGTAGCTCAAACAGAATGGCATTCCACTGGCATCTGAAGCAGCATTGCTTTCCCCAGTAATTACCAATGAAGGCAGATTAACTGGCTGGTCAGTGTTTGCAAGACATTGCTGGAGCTTCCAGCAGGATCTTTGGGCATTGTTTGCAATATAGCAAATACTCAGTATAAGATGATCTATATCAGCTCCAAGGATACAATCAAGTGAAAGTTAAGTACAATCAAGTATGAGTGGCAGATAATGGGTTATCGGACGTTTTCAAACAAGAAACTGACCTGGTATCATTTCATGTGAAACCCAGCAAGTGCCAATGAATAACAAGCTTCCATGTATTTAAGTCATCACAATGCATTTTTATATTTTCAGAATACTTTCAGGCAGCATGGTGACTCAGTGGTTAGCACTGCTGCCTCACAGCACCAGGGAACTGGGTTCAATTCCACCCTCAGGCAAGTGTCTGTGTGGAGTTTGCATATTCTCCCTGTGTCTGCGTGGGTTTCCTCCCATAGTCCAAAGATGTGCAGGGTAGGTGGACTGGTCATGCTAAATTGCCCATAGTGCCCAGGGATGTTTAGGTTAGGGGGTTAGACATGGGAAAATGTATGGGAATGGATCTGGGTGGGATGCTCTTCGGAGGGGCAGTGTGAACTTGTTGGGCTGAATGGCCTGTTTCCACACTGTAGGGATTCTATGACTTTCAGCTTGAATATGTGACTTCAATTTCCCATTTTGCTTTAACCTTCTTAGCATCAGGACTGGTTATTTGTCTTCTGATGAAGAGCCACTAGACTCAAAACCTTTGGCTCTGCCCTCTACCCACAGATGCCACCAGGCCTGTTATGTCACCAACAGTTTCTGTTTTTGTCCTTGTTTTTTTACAGGACCCAATAGAAAATTTTAGTACAAAAAACTGTACTGTTCTCTTGGTGACTAGGTGGAATGATAAAAAGAGAGACTGTGCCTACATTCAAGAAATGATTTGGGATCTTTTAATATTGTTAATTGTATGGAAGAACAGATTGGTCAAAGTAACTATAAAGACAAGCGTAACATTATCACGTCCCCTCACTCTCTGCTTAAAGTAATAGTGTCAGAGGTTTGGTAAAACAAGAGTGGTGCTTAATGAAAAGTTTTATTAATATTTGCAGCACATCTAAGTGCCAGTGTACTACCTGTTCTTCTTTCGGCCACCCTCCCAGGCCCACCCTGCTTCTTGCCAACACTTAACCATCTGCCAAGGGAGTGCTCTCAGCCATGAGGTGCTGGGTTGACTGAGCAGTTCCAGGTTGAGGTTTTCTGGCTCAAGGACAGAAGTTGATTCTGCATTGGAGAGTGGGGTGTGGTTCTGTACTGTTGGCATGGTCTACACCTGAACTGTGCTGGGATGAGAGTTCTGCCAAGCCACATAACTAGGGAAGTTTGGAGGATCTGAAGCTAAGTAGTGGATAAGGAGATCAAATTTGGGAAGATATAGTCAGAGTCATACAGCATGAAAACAGACCCATCGGTCCAATCCCAATCTATATTAGTCCCACCTGCCTACTCCTGGCCCATAACACTCCAAACTTTTCCTATTCGTGTAATTATCCAAATTTCCTTAACATTGTAATTATATCCGCATCCACCATCTCCTCAGGAAGTTCTTCCACTCACGAACCACCGTCTCTGTAATAAATTGCTTCTGATGTCTTTTTTAAAATCTCTCTCCTTTCACCTTAAAAATGTGTTCCCTAAAATGAATCAAAGCCTAGAGATAAGGCAAGGGGGAATAGTATTAATGTGGGAAATGATGAACACAGTGACAGAATGGGATCGAGAGTATATATAAAAATAAATTGACAGATAAGGCTAGAGGTTGCAAATAGAAGAAAAGAGCCAAAACTAAAGGTTCTGTATCTCGATGTACATGGCAGTTGGAATAAAACACAAAGTGATAGCGCAAAGTACCACTTGATAGCCATTACAGCCCAACGGCTGCATGGTGACAGATTGGAAACTGAATATTCAAGTGTAACGAACATTTCCGAAGGACAGGCAACTAAGAAAAGGTAGAGGGTGGCTCTGTTACTTAATAATATTAGAACAACAGAAGGAGATGGCTTATATTCAGGAAACCTGGATATTGAAGTGGTTATGAGAGTGTCTTAGAGGATTACAGCACTGCAAGAGGCCCTTCGGCCCATCACGTCCGCACTGGTCATCATGCATTTAACTGCTACAGTCTCATTTTTCCATCAATTGGTCCGTAGCCTTGTAAGCTATGGTGCTTTAAGTGATCACAAAGTAATTGGAGTTTTGCAGTATCGAAAGAGGCCCTTCAGCTCATCATGTAAACACTGATTATCAGGCACAGACATGGATACAAGTAACAGCCCAGAAAAAGCTGCAAGTCAGGAAATGGAAAGGAGGGTGGACCTCAAGAAAATTACAATCGGGGAAGTAGTACTGAGCAAGTTACTGAAGCTGTGAACTGATAGCTCCCTTGGTTCTGATGGAGATTGTCCTACGGTTGGAACAGAAGCGTGTAGTAAGATAATTGATGGTTTGGTTTTAATTCAGGAAATGTTCCATTGAAAAAAAAAACTGAACTTAATTCCTTTATTCAAATAGTGATTGAAACTACAGGGCACTTGGTTTAACATATTAATGTCATAGGAAAGTGTTAGAAGCTATTACTGAAGATGTCATAACAGGCACTAAGAAAAGTTCAAGGTAGTCATGTAGACTCAGTATATAGTTTTGTGAAAGGAAAATAGTGTTTAACCAATTTATTGGCATTCTTTGCGGAAGTGGTCTGGATTATGGAGGATCAGCAGTTGTACTGTGATTGGATTTCCAGATGGTATTTGATAAGATGTCACATCAAAGGTTATTGCATAAAACAAAAGGTCATGGTTTATGGGTAACGTATTGGCATGGATAGGAGATTAGCTAGCTAACAGAAAATGTAAAAGTAGTTATAAATGGGTTATTTTCTGGTTGACAAGATATAATGAGTAGTGTGCCACAAGGATCAGTGCTGGTGTCTCAATATTTTACATGTTGCATGAATTGCATGAAATCTGAGAGTACTGAGGTGAACTGGTATACTAGGCTAAGGAATAAGTCGATAGAGATGCCATGGCATATAATTAAGGGGACATTTCTGAATGCTTTGAATAAGTATATTCCTACAAAGACAAATTCTAAAAGGATGAACTTCCCTCTGGGGTTAACTAAAGAAGTTATGGAAAGCATCAGACTTCATGAAAAAGCATACAACTGTGCAAAATTGAGTGGTAGGTCAGATGATTGGTCAAAATATCTATGAACTTCAGAGAATGACTAAAATGTTAACAAGAAAGAAATTTGACAGGAAGCTAGGTTGAAAGGTAAAAATGGATAGCCAGAGTTTCTCCAGGTATTTAAAATGAAAATAGTAAATAAAGTGTTTGTTAGTCCGCTAGAAAGTGAGAATGGGGAGTTAGTAGTAGATAAAGAAATGGCAGATGAAATAGACAAATATTTTGCTTCTGCCTTCACTATGGAAGATACAAAAACATCTCAGTAATAGTTATAAATCAGAAGTTAAAAAGGGAGAGAGGAACTGAGGGAAATTATAATCATTCGGGAAGAAGGGCTAATCAAATAGATTGGAGATGTGTACTGACAAGACTCTGGTTCAAGATGGAACTCATCGTAGATGTCTATAAGAGGAAGCTAATCAGTTCTAGATGCAGCGTTGTTAAATCTTCCAAAGTTCCCTGAATTTTGACTGTAAAACAGCAGATATCCCCTTTATTCAAGAAGGGAGGAAGACAGAAAACTGGAATCTATAGGTCTATATTAGCTCTACATCTACCATAAGGAAGTTATTAGAATCGGTCATTTAGTTTATAGCTGTCTACCTTGAAAAAGGCCCAAAGTAAATCAGGAAAAGTCAGCAGGTTTCCTCAAAGGGAAATCCTGTTTAACCAGTTTATTGGAGTTCTTTAAATGAATAACACATGCTATGGATAAAGGGAAGCCTGTAGATCTACTATACTTGGACTTCCAAACAAGGATTTGATAAGATGACAAATTAAAAGTACTTAAAGAAAAAGCTCATGGTGTGGCCGGTAACACATTAACATGGATAGAAGATTGACTGGCTGATAGAAAACAGACTGTCTAAAAATGTGGGTCTTTGGCTGTGGAATGATGTGTTGAGTGGAGTTAGTAGGGTTTGTTCTGGGGCTTCAAATTTTTATAATTTATATCAATGACTTAGATGAGGAGAGTAGAGGCATGGTAGCTAAATTCCAATACATCACAGAAAAATACATTGTGAAGGAGTTTGCAGAAGGATATATGCAGTTTCAGTGAATGAGACAAAAAAATCTGGCAGATGGAGTACAATGAGGGAAAATGCAAAGCTGTTCACATTAACAAGAAGGGAAACAAAGCAGAGTATGAAACAGAGAACAAACACAGAATTGCATGAGTCACAAATATTTAATATGCGGCATAGCAAGTAATCAAGGCAGCTAATGAGATGCTAACTTTTATCACCAGAGGAATTGAAAATTTAAATAAAGTGTTGTGCTTCAGGTAGACCACAGATCACAACTCAAAACAGACAGTGTACAGTTTTGGTCTCCACACTTAAAGCAAGTTATGAGTACGCTGGAGATGGTTCAGAGGAGGTTCAATAGATCGATAACTCAAATGAATGGGCTGTCTTACGAGGATAGGCTGGACAGGCTGAGGTGAAGTTTAGAAGCAGGAGGGGTGACTCGAATGAAGTGTAGAAGTGGTCTTCATAAGGAAGACATGGAAGGGATGTCTCCTTTTGTGGTTAAGTCCAGTACTAGGGGGACTGTTTTAAAATTGAGAGTTGACCTTTTAGGACACAGATGAGATTCTTTTGTTTTCCCAGAGAACTTTATGCGACTTCGGAACTGTCTGCCTCAGAAGGTGGCGGAAGCAAGATCATTGAATATCTTTAAGCTGACAGGCTATTAATTCCCTGCCTAACCAGAATCCAAGGTTACTGCGAGTAGACAGAAATGTGAAATTTGAAATACAAACAGATCAGCCATGATGTTAGTGACTGCCAGAGCAGGCTTGAGAGGCCAAAAGGTTTACCTCTGCCTTGGTTTTATACGTTCTTATGAAGAGGATGAAGATTTGATTACTAAGTGTGCTGATAACACAAAGGTAGGCATGAAAGTAAGTTAAAAGGACATAAGGACTGATTAGATAGGTTAAATAAGTGGGCAAAGATTGGGCAAATGAAGTATAATGTGGGAAAATGTGAAATTGTCCATTTTAGCCAGAAGAATAACAAAGGAGCATTTAAATTAAATTGTGAGGATTGCATATCTCTGAAATGCAGAGTGATCTTGGTGTCACAGCACATGAATCACAAAATGTAGTAAGTAGGTACAGCAAATAATTAGGAAATCTTGTAGAACGTTATTGTTTACTGTGAAGTGAATTTAATACAAAATTAGGGAGCAATGCTCCAGTTTTACACAGCTTTGGTCAAACCAGATCTGGATCAGTGTCTGCAATATTGGCCTCCTTTAAGGAAGCATGTAAATGCATTGGCAGCAGTTCAGAGAAGATTCACTAGACTAATACCTGCAATGGGAAAGATCAGGCTGGCTAGGCTTTTACATACAAGAATAAGCTTGACAAGGTGGATGTAGAACGGAAGGATGTTTCCTCTTGTAGGGAAATCTAGAATAAGCATCACTGTTTAAAAATAAGGTATTGTCCTTTCAAGACAGATTAGGATTTTCTTTTCCCCTTCAGAAGATTGAGCGTCTTTGCAACTTTCTTCCTCAAAGGCTGATGAAAGCAGAGTATCTAATAGATTTTTAAAGAAACAGATAAATAGATTCTTGATAAGGATGGGGTTAAAAGGTTATCCAAGATAGGCAGGAATGGGGTCATCAAATCACCCATGAACTTATTAAACAGTGGAACAAGCTTGAGGGGCAGGGAAAGTTACTTCCACTCCCAAGTTGTATGTTTGAAGGCTGAAGGTCCCTAGTTAGGAATTCCAACAAGTTCCTCTCACTCCTTATCCTTCCAAGCTGAGCAAATTTAGTGCCATATATTAGAATGCACCGAAGAAAGGGTAGATTGCAGACATTGAGTAGTATTCACCACATTGTGGCAGCCTCTTTAGTCAAAACATACATCATTACCTTGCTCAACCTTTAGTGTTTGGTTTCCATTATCGTCAGTGTCTGCGTTGTCTGCTTGGTATCTTCCTGTTAACCTTTCCCTGCCACAGCAAGAAAATAAGCAGCAACTAGAAACCCTGGCGTTGGTGAGTGCATCTCCTCAGCTTTGTTACAATGTCATTTTTGGGAGAACAATCCTTCACAAATTTGAGACAGTTCCTACGGGAGAAGCCACTGACAGTGTAGTGCTTCTCACACAATTCACAGAGCAGTTCCATAACACCACACTACACCATGTTCTAACCAGAGATTTCTCTTCAGTCGTACAGCATCAACAATATCTAATCCTGACTCCTTTTCATCTCCCACAGCGAAAGGTATTCCCTACAGCTGCTGAGTTATGAATCACAGCAAGAGTGGGTCCTCGCCCACGCACTCATTAGAGCTCTGAATAAACTCAATCTGCTTGATCCTTTCAACCCAGCCTACAGTTCCTTCATTAATAACTGCAAAATGAACACATTACTTACCAGGGTGCATAAAACTTCACAAACGTCAGCCCTGTGGCTATGGTCTGCTCAAAATCACTTTCAGTCAAGATGAGCACGCTATACTGCAGTAAGTGGGGGAAATAAAAAAGAATCAGTTACTGTGAATGTAAAGCATACACAGCATAACATTAAGCTGAAAAAAAAATTCTTTAAGTCTCTTCTGTTCCTTCCCATTTAAGGTTGCCAGTGGCATAACTGAGGTTCTACCAGATGGCAAGCTGAAAAACCTTCACAATTCATCATTTTCATCCACAAAGTTAGCCTGTAGTTTCCCCTCTGACTGTGAAGTGAGACGGCTCATTTTTACACTAAGTCTGTTAAGTCTTTTGCACAGGAAAAAAGAAACCCCAAAGGAATAAAATATTTACATAAGAAATCTTTAAAAAGCACTTCTTGATATCTAGTATTCTAGATTGTTCCACCCAAGCTTCTTGCCCCTTAATACTCTAATGCAGTTTATTTACTGTTTTCACAAGACAGACTAGAATTAGAGGCAACAGCAGAAATGCAAATCTATTAACTGCAGATATAGACTGGGCAAGAGATTTTAGCCAGAGATAACACAGAACCAAGTTCAAAGTTTTTCCTTTGAAAAACTATTGTTGCGCGAACATTCTCATTGTGCTTAATAACATTCTCAACAGAGGTAATTTTCTATCCTGGCCTAATATGAAAAATATATTGATTTCAATAATTATTTATGAACACCAGTCAGTCTAAATCTGCAAACTTTCTCCTACCAAAAATTAACCCAAATGGATTAACTAAATGAAAGACATGCATCAAGTCTTTTCCAAGTCTAGAGATACAAACACCTATAAAGCTTGGAAGTGAGCATCTTAGTGTTAAGTGTTAAGTGACTGAATAAGTCAGTACTGAAGAACTCAAATTCCCAAACGTCACAGCAAAAACAGATTAAAACTACATTGCTACACCATTTGAAACCATTTTAAATATCTTAAATACCGGTTCCTTCTCCTCCTCTGAATGATCCTCTTCCTCAGAATCTTCATCAGTTTCCTGATCTTCTTCAGCAGATTCAACTGCCTTTAACTGGGAATCCACATATTCCTTCAAAGAGTCCAGATCTCTCTTTCCCTTGTATTGATCAACCTGATAAAGGGGCAATATGGAATTCATTTGAACATTTAAAGAGAAATGTTACAGTTCAAAGCTACATATCCCACTTTTCACAACAGAGCAGTACAAAGGAGTAGAATATCCAAAAAGAGACTGTCACGGTCAAAAAGGGAGCCACACTTATCCCCATGGAATTCCCTTCCCGTTCCCTGGCCCTTCCCGTATAGTTATTCTAAGCAAGTTGATTGGATGTGTTATGACACACACTTCCGGGGCAGGTGGGACTTGAACGTGGATCTTCTGGTCCAGAGATGGGGCACTACCACTGCTACAAGACAATCCTTCCATCATTATACTCAGCTATGCACACACATTTTGACATGGATGGTGCTCCACAATTCTTGCTGGAATGAGGAACAGATTCTGTCTAGAAGACTGAAATCTGCTCATAGAACTGCAGACTGGTTTGCTCAAGTTGAATAGGCTTTGTTATCAATTCTGCGTACTGAGCCTGACATGAAGTGCCAATGACTAAACCCACGAAATCCATTAGAAATTCAGACGTTCCTATAGCTCAGTCAGAGCTCCAAATTCACTCCAAGTACATGAAAGTGAGCACAGTACTGATTCAATCCTGGAGGAGGAAGGGGGAAGACAAATTCAGCAAATGTGATTTAAAGTAAAAACAATACTAGCCTTTTCCCCATCCTTGAACCAAAGAAGGGTTGGGTATCCACGCACTTGGTTCTGAGAGCACAACTGCTGGTGGGCAGTGCAATCAACCTAGAATTAGATTGAAAGACAATTAGTGTTAGAGGGAAACGCTGCAGTCAGAAAGTGAAAAGAACTTTCAGACCATTTGACATCTTAAAGCTAACTCAGATGACTTCATGCACAAAAATTAGTCAGCAAGCTGCCTTTTCTTAATTCCTTGAAATTTTGATACACCAGTCATATCAGTATTTGAATAAAAGGTCAGGCAGTCTGTAGGCTGGGCCAACGGCCTAGTTTATGGTTCCAATATTCTTTAAAGCATGTATTGCGATTCTTTCCACCCAGTTATACCTCTCAATGTCAGAGCCAGTTGATGTGCCATGGATTGTAAAGGGTGTCCCACTCTACCTTAGATCCAAAGCATTTCCTGAGAGAGAGCTTGCCTCTCATTGCTATTAATCATGCCATAAGGCTGCAATCCTTGACTGTGTAGACCACCATGGTCTAGTGACAACCTCTGGAAGAGGTTCACATAATCAATGTAAAAGCACACATTAAGTAATAGAAACATAATGCCAGGGTTTGCACATCATTATTATACTTTATTTACAGCATAAATCACTTCACTCCAACTGTGCCTCAAATAAAACTTATCAGCGAGCCTTCTCACTTGCACCCTTAAGTGACTGCTTGGACATCATAGCAGATGACAATATTGGAGGAGAAATTGACTTGAAATGGAGTCAACTGTTAATATTTTGCATGGCCATTCAACTGAACAACAAAGTACATTTACACGGAAGTAAATAAATTAAAAAGCTATAATAATTGGACAGAATAGGTCGGTAAACTTCACAGTATTTGAGGAATACTATTTTTGCTGGTTTATCAACAGTACCAGTTCATAAAGGTGATGGTTAAAACAGAGTTTGCTGTATATGGTTAACACTGCTCTAACACTCTGGACATCCTCAATAAATAAATCACAGACAGTTCTGCTCTGAAACTATTGTGGAATTGGGCCTCTAGGACAGACATTGTGCTGAGTGCAATTAAGATTCAGTAATCAATCACAGCACCTTTTCAGCATTACAGGATTTTGTCAACCACAAATGGTATAACAAAGCTCTAATTAAATATTCCACAAATTAGTGGTGAGAATTAAAAGAAAGCATCCCTCAAGTGTTGATGCAAGTCAGGGGTTTCTTCTAATACTCAACGTAAAGTCTGCAACCTTGATTGAATACGGCAGTTCATCACGACTATTTCTCTCCCTCACCACACCTATTCCTAGATCTCAATAATTATATTAAATGATGCACTAGTATTCAAAGTGGTGGAAAAACAAAGTGTCCCTGTAACACACCCTTATCAAAAGCCAAACAGCTACGTCAAATCCTGGGGCTCTACAGTATACACTAGTTTAGCATGGTTTTTGAACCACTTTCAGATCGAATATTTCCTGTTATTTTTGATGCTCTCACCTTGGCAATTTTCACATTGTCGGAATGCTCAAACATTGTTGCCAGTTGTTCCCATGTTGGAGCCAGAGCCTTGCAGTGCCCACACCATGGAGCAAAGAACTTGATAAAATGAAAACCTGTAAAGATATTGAAAAAGAAAATCATTTTACAGAAACTTTCTTTTAAAACAAAACCACACAGAAAAGTCTGCATATCATTCCTGAAAATTCAGGAAAGGATGACTGGGAAGAGAAACCTTACTCCCAACAGCTGAGTGCTACCAATAGAGGCAAATCATACAGGGCATTTTCATTAATTGTGGTTGTGGGCACTAACACCAGCTCTCCTAGTTGCCCCGGAAAAGGTGGGACCTATCCTTGAATGGCTAGAATCTCCTTGAAAGGTTTTCCAAAATGCTATTAGGTAAGCAGTTCCAAGATTCTGACCCAGCAAGAGTATTACATATGCCTTGGAGGGGGTACCTGAATGGGATGGTGAACTGCCATCCTGAGTGCTGAAGGGTTTTTTTTCCCCCCTCGGGGGCGGGGTGGGGGAGGGAGGGAGGGGGTGGTGGTTGGGTTTGCTGCAGGCATCCTGAGATACTCCACATTACAGCCACAAGGTGAAAATCGTGCAGGGTTACTCAATTCCTTTGTGCCCAGGTTCTTAAATGTAGCCCAGCAGTCAAAGCAAGCCACTTCCCACAAAGGAGGCCAGGCATGTAAAGAAGTTGCATTCGATCATTTTTTGCAAATTGCACAGTAGCCATTTGGAAGTAGGAATTCAAGCAGATGGCATGGTCAAATGTTTTATTTCCCAAGAAGTACAAAATCTCTCACTTATGATCAACATCAGTAATTATTTTTCTCTTTATTTGCACCAGTTCCTTTGGCAGATTGTGCCTGAGCTGATGGCTGTCTATCATCAGCAATTCTGTGCTAATTGACAGGTCACAGGCTCCTTGATCCAAATACTTTCATGTAACTCCACAAAGCACAACGGGAAAAGCCTGGCTTTCACCAGATTCCCTTGTATTAGGCAGACAAATTTCACAGGAGGAACCATTTGTTCACACACTCCTTCAAACTATCAGCACGATTCAATCAGTGATGATTTTATCAAGTTTGCCAATAAATAACAGTCTTATCACATGTAGCGTTTAGCTTTACAAAAGGTTATAAATTTAGCAAGCAGTTTGATACTACCACTGACTTAATGAAACTAATAACCAATTCTGGTGATGGCCTCCTTATTGTTAAAAAGGAAAGCCACATTTTTAAATGATCACTACAGGTGCAAACAAAAAAAAAGCCACCTCCTTAAAAAAAAGGAAGTGAAGCTCCATCCTTTACATTTGTAACTCTCGTGCAGTATTCATTTATTACACAGTATTTTTCTTTTCATTATTGGAATGAGAACATTGCCAGCAAGCATAGCATTTGTTACCTGTCCATAACTCATCATAGAATCCCTACTCCAACAAGTCCACACCAACCCTCAGAGCATCCTAACCAGACACATCACCCTATAACCCACCTAATCTAAACATCCCTGAACAGTACAAAAAATTTAGCATGGCCAATCCACCTAACCTGCACATCTTTGGACTGTGGGAAGAAACCTGAGCACCCGGAGGAAACCCACACAGACACGGGGAGAATGTGCAAACTCCGCACGGACAGTCCCCGAGGGTGGAACTGTACCCGGGTTCCTGACACTGTGAGGCAGCAGTGTCAACCACTGAGCTACTGCGCCACCCTGCCCTCAAAAAGTTGGTAGTGAGCTGCCTTCTTTTTCAGCTTTTCTGTGACAGTTTTGATACTATTGAATGGCTTGCTAGGTCATTTCAGTGGGCAGTCATGAGCCAACCACACTACTGTCGGTCTGGACTCATGTCAGACCAGGAAAGGACTGCTGATTTCCTTTCCTAAAGTACATTAGCAAAGCTAATGTATATCTTTTAAAACAATACAATAGTTTCAAGGTCTTGTCAATAGTGAAAATATTAATTAATTGAATTTAAAATTTCCCTAAGGACAGAAACAGGGTCAAGTATGACTTCTTCAGGACAGAACAGTTCTTAAGAGGAGTCATATTTGACTTGAAATGTTAACTCTGTTTTTCTCACTCCAAACCTATTGAGCATTTTCAGCACTGCTTTTATTTCAAATTTCAAGCAAGCACAATATTTTGCTTCTGTCTATAAGTTTGAGTTATTCTATAGAATTCTAATAAGGGTTAAAAAACCATAATTAAAGTTCCAGTGCATATAGATCTAAAAACACCAAACAAGTATTGAACCTGCGGTAAGCATACCTTGTGCAGTGTGAAGCTTGAAGTTATTAGCTGAGAGTTCATACAAGCCCTGCTTGGCTTCTGGGACCATGGGAGGTTCCTGCTCAGATTCTGGTTGCTAACAAAAGAAAATAACAAGTCTTTTTTTTCAAAATTCAAGATTTAATTTCTCAGATTTAGAGAGAAAAATTGTATTCCAAGTACATATTTAGCAATAAGGATTCTCCCTAAAAGGAAACTCTCCTTTTCCACATTGGACACACATTTTTATGAAAACCGGCCTCATCATCTCCCTAATGTTGTGTCTGATCAAAATACGTCTTTCCTTTTGGCAAGCAGACTGATGGGCAGCCCTCTCCATTCATTTTCATATACCGTACTTAATTAATCCAGCTACAGGAGTTAACATCATATATCCCGTTTGTGATGAGTAGCTCACCAGGAGATTTAGTAGGCAACAGGCAAAAAATGAAGAATTTACACAACAAAAGGAACAAATCTGACTCACAACAGCAACAACTCATTGTCAAGACCAAAGCCCAATGCTGCACCTCAAGCTTGGCCAATTTACAGAACCAACTCTCACAAAAAGCAAAGATATAAGTGCATATGCTACACACTGACACATTTACAAGGGGAACACACCAATTACTCAGTGTTGGAATGAAAGAGAAAAATGGATATATTAGATTCAGAAACATGACCACAGTGAAAAAGTGATCATTTCTTATGTTTACGTTTAAAGCTTCAATAAGTTCATTTCAGTGATTAGCAGAACACTCCTGGATGGCTGATGTTTGGCAAACTGAATATAAACTTGTGCTTTAATAGAGTTTGTGTGAGGCTAAATTCTTTTCCTCAAAGTGTGGCAATTAAGTCTTGGGTAAATGTCTCACACTACTGCTATATAATTCAAAAAAAATGTTCTCTCCACAAGCAATGCAAGCTTAAATGGGTAAAAATCTATCATTGTAATACTAACCATTTTTTAAACAATTCATGTGTGACATTAAGCATTCCTACACACCCAAGACCACGCTTTGATAACATCCCAGTGAGAACACTACAGCCTTGGGACTCTACAGGTGTTCCTCTTCACGGCTTCCTTATGCTAGTGGTTACAAGTCCAAAGTCAATTACTTCAGCAGCAAATCCTGAGGCAGTTACCCCTTTTGTAAAAATAGAACCCATGCAAATATTCAGCAGGAAATAAGTCAGTGCTGCCTTCAAAGCGACCACAGCCCAAGACAGCTATTGCTCCAGCTCTTTCCAGCTCTGCTACACTGCAAACAAGTTTGGGCAACTGGCTGAAGGCATTTCAAAATAATATCATGGTTATAATTTCAGGCACCAAATCAAACGCTTCAAAATATTAACCTTAGCCCTGCCGTAAAACTCGTGCATCTAAAGGCAGATGGATGTGGACTCAAGTACAGCTTCAGAAAAAGGGACTGCGATCATCTCAGCCGACATATTTTTCAGCAGAAAGAGCACAGCACCGTCTGAGATTATTGAGACATCAAATCATCACCGCTTGTGCCCCCTCAAGGTGCAGAAAAGATGCCAGGGCTCTATTGAAGAAGTGTCCAATTTTTTAAAATCCATAGACCAATGTAATTGGGTCAGTCTGAAGAAGGGTCACTGGACTCAAAATGTTAACTACTTTCTTTCCACCAAATCAGTTTCTCATGCAATTTTTGTTTTTGTTTTAAGAGCTTCAACATCTGCAGTTCTTTGTTTTATACAACTGGAAGAGGTCATTTAGCTGGTCATTTTCACACTGCTGTTTGTTGGACCTTGCTATGCACAAATGGCTGTCATATTTCCAACTGTATAAAAAAAAGTGACCAGTCTCCAAAATTATTTAATATTATTCTTCTGATTTGGGGCATGGAGTCAAGCTGAACCATCTAAAGACAATGTGTAGATATGACAGATCAAAGGACATCACTTGTCATTCTCCATGTCACATGTACCACATAAACTGAACCAGTAGCGTCTGGTTCAGAACGTGTTCTTCTGTTCCATTCTATAATTTTCTAGCCTTTAAAACAATTGGGCAGAAAACCATAGGGTGGAATTCCCACAGAATTGAACATCTGAGGGTTACAATAAGACACCTCTTAAAACACTGCGTAGCACAGTGAGGACTAATCTGCACAGCATGTAAAAAGACAAAACAGAAGACTCCCCATTGCAACAGATTAGATTTTAAAACAACTAATACTTGCTTCATGTATGGCCAATGCAAATAACAAGGCCAATTTTGGCCTTTCTTATATTGAAGACGGCAATTCTTGCTGGGGTACAATTCCGAACAGATATCAAACTAAAGTTATGAGGATTAAATTGGCTTGCATTCTCCAGAGTCCAGAAGGTTGAGTGGGTATCTGACACTTGATGGAATTGAATAGGAAATCCAGGACAAAAAGGCAATATATCATAAATTTAGAGTTAGACTATTTAGCAGAAAAAAAAAATCAGGTCAGAATTCTTTACATTAAATGCAGTTAAAATCTGGAACTTGGTCACACCAAACTTTGTGGATGAAAGAACGATTAAATATTTCAAAACTGAAACAATACATTTTTATTCATTAAAAATATCTGGGGTTATGTAGAGTCAATGGAGTTGAATTGTAGATTTGGGAAAATCTCTTCTGTTCCTATATCCCACACAGTATCTAACCTAAGTAGCTACTCATAACAAGTGTCTACACAGGGAATATCAATGAGTTATTCAACACTGGAGTCATCACTGACAAACAAATGCCTGTCCACGCTAAATGTTTCTATCCTTTCTATTCTACAATTTCTCAAGGCTATTTTAATACAGCAATAAACCAAAGTTGGACACGACAACAGCAGCCAATGCAAAACTAAGATTCTGTCATTCAAATACCTTCACTGCAATTCCTGTGTTCACTGACTACTGATCTTAAAAGGGTAATTGACATATTTGCATTTTTCTCCCACAACCATGCAAATGACTATCAGGACAATAGTCCCTTCCTATCTACTGCTCTTCTGCACCTTCTGAAAATAAGGAACCGATAATCGAGACTTGACCAGCTATGGTATCAAATCATTACAACATTACTATACAGTCAAACTTCTCTACGTACCCAGTGAACATCCAATGTCAAATTTGGTCAAATACATAAATTCATATCGGCACACAATGAAGAAATTCTAATTAATTTACAATGTCATTATTTTCCAAATACAAACTCTTGAGGTTTATTCTTTTCCTTGTTTTTTTACAAAAGAGCATATGGCTGAGGAAGTGCATTTTATTGTGCAGGTCTGCATGGATGGGGAAAGTAGCAATTAATTTGCACAAAAGCATCCTAAGTGAGTAGGGGGTTTGAATAATAAACGCTGAATAACATAATTTGGACTTCAGAGTCTAGGCCACAGAAATTAGACCTGAACAAAAGTGTAATTAGTGAATGGAAACCTAACACTCCTCTTTTGATTGTAAATTCTTATGATCTATTCAGATGGCATCAATATCTCAACAAGTTATTTCTAAAATTGCATAATGGAAGAGTCACAGGGCTCACCATTATTTTAAGTTGATGGAAAAGAAGAAGAATAGGAAACGACTAGCTGAAGATAATCCACATTTGTTCATTTTCTTAGATGCAAAAACCAATAGCTCTTTTTTTGATTCTCTGAGTCACTATAATTATGAATTTCCTTTTTACATATTTTATAAAAAAAACAAATTCCCAAAAGGACTCTGATAGCACAAGCATTTTCTATTTTACAAACATTATGACGGCCATTTTGAAAACACACACCATTTCGGATTTATGTTAATCCACTGGCAGTCCCTTCTCCATGAAATATTTAGAAGATTTTTTTTTAAGTAGAAAGGCTAAACATAAGTCACAACAGGGCATAAATTAATCAGTGAGACAATTCAAATAAGATTGTGGAAGGCAGAAAAGGAGAAATCAAGGAAGCGACAGTTTTATTTTCTTCCTGCTTTTAGTTTTTTGGAAATGTTATTGAGCTGAAGTCAACTCATAACCAATCTCTGTCTAAATGATTAATATAAACAACTATTTCAGGGAGACTGGTATTTGTCCAGTCTATTAGTATGGGTAAAGCTAGTTAATATTTAAAGAAAATGGCATTTCACACAAGCTTCAGTCTGGAGGGGAATTTGTTGGAACCTATAATGCAATAGTTATATTAAACCACCAAATATTTTCTACATTTTTAAATGTGTACTTTGGTTAAATAGTTTGCAGAGATTACAATACAGCTATTCTGTCGTAGAGTCAAAAGTAAAACTAAAAATATAATGACAGACAGACAGACAGACAGACAATGTCCTATGACCAGCCAAATTCCCTAAATTGGCAAGAACAAATAAGCTGGGTGACTGTTTTAATGAATGCCTCTGTTCAAACTGCAAGTGTAACCCTGAGTTTCAGCTGTCATTTCAAACCTCTACCTTACCCAGCCTGACCTTTGTCCTTGGCCTGCTGCATTGCTCCATTGAAGGTTCACACAAGCTCAAGGAGCTGTGCCTCAACGTTCAACTTTGAAACTCAACACTGAACATAACTATTTTAGACCATAACCTTTACGCCATTTTGTTTCATGTCTTTCTGCCGGTTTTGTTTCTCTTGTTTACTTCTTAATCCCTTCACTTTACATTCAGGTGGCTGCTATCCTTTCATTCATCTAGGCACGTCTTTGGTGTATAAACTTGTCTCATTATCATTCTCTGGCTTCTTTTGACATGCAACTTGTCGTTGAAGGTACTCTGCCCTCCACACTAACTCAGAGCTTCCCTTTTGATCTTTCCCCTCCCCTTCTTCACTTGTTCAGAGCCCATCACATCTCTAACTTTCCTCAATTCTGATGGAAGGTCATACAGCAATAATGTTAAATCTGTCTCTGTCTCCCACTATAGATACTGTGTGGCCATGATAACTTTGTTTCTGTTTATAATTGAAAATCTCTTTGGAGTATTCAAAAGCTACCAGCTCTACTTTGTATCTCTAGGAATGTACATACAGAAGGAGGCCTCTCGGCCCATCAGGCTTAAACTATAAATTACAGTAGAGTCCATGTGTGTTTTTCCTTAAATTTTTCAGGATAAACAATGCAAAGTACTCTCACTCTATGCAGTATGAATGGAAAATGAATGAAAATGCCAGGGTGAGTTGTCTTTGCACATCAATACAAACCTGCTGTGAATTTCATTTATAACTTGTACGCATTTCTCTGTGGAACCACCTGAAGAAGTTATTATTTATGGTGCAAAAAGCAGCTTGCTTGGTGAAAGTAAGTTGTGAACACAGCTGGAAGTTTGTCAGTTTGCAAGTTTTGCTTAAAAAGAAAAGCTATGCAACCATTTGGTTACAAATGACAAGTAACAAAAATGAAACAGAAGCAGAAATTGCTGTGTAGATTTCTCAGCAACAGTCTTGGTTCTAAAACATTCCCAAGTTTGAGATAACAGTGACTTTCTGAAGACTTACAGCAGGTTCAGCATTCAGGGTCTGAAGCATCCACGTTTCCAGTGACTGCAGGTCACGGGGTCCCTGATATTTCACTGCTTCCTGGTCGGGTCTGAACAACTTCAGTCTAAAAGGAAAATCCAAAAATGAGACAATTAGTCCACACAGCAAATACACTACAGATATAATATTAGGTTCAAAATGCTGTTTAATTGAAAACAAATTGAACGTTTTCTGCTGAAAGCATTTTGCAAGATTAGAAGGCCAAAAAAATGATTTACAGTGACCAAGTGATTGTTTTTTTGAAAGCATTGGTGGAAGTGGATGAGACGTAGGCATGAATAAAGTTATGCTTTAAATACAGTTGATTAGTTGGAACTCACTAGTATAATAAAGATGTATCTCTTATTTTACTCAGTTAGAGGATGGGTGTAAGGCCCAGAGGGCACTTAAGAGACAACCATGTTGCTGTGGCACTGGAGACCCATTTGGGCCAGACCAGGTAAGCATGGCAAACTTCCTTCCCTAAAGTACATTATTAAACCATATCATTTTTTACAACAATTGACAGTGGTTACATGGTCAGCATTGGACTAACAATTCAATCCAAATATTTTAGTGAATTCAAGTTTCACCATCTGCCATGATGGGATTTAAACTCATGCCCCTGAGCAGTAGCCTGGGGCTCTACACTTCTAGTCCAGTGACATCACTACTGCCCCCCCCGTCATGGAAACATAATTACTAAAATATATGTCCAAATTACAGTGAATGCCATCTTCCCAAATCTACTGACGATTACAATCAATTGTTACTTGTAGAGAACACTGCATTAATGTACTCGAGATCACATTTTACTAGTTTCATCATTTGGTTTTATTATTTTTACAAGTGTTGTTGCTGGGAACCAAATGCAGAAATAAAGTTGTGTAATAATGAACTTCATATTATCCACCACTCACTGAATCGAATTAAACTAAAATCCCCAGAATGTCAAACAAGATTATTTCATCACCCCTTTAAATCAAAATCAAGCCCACAAAATGAACAAATCTCAAACTGCTGACATCTTCAGACAGTACAGATGATTGGCAATCACTTAAGAGTGACTCATCCTTTCCAGGCCTGCATGCTGTTTAAAAACACTTGCACTTTTCAAAGCACACCACTTACGTAGGATATCCACGGACTCCTTGATCTGAACAGGTCTGTGTATCTTTGGTGCAGTCAACTTTAGCTACATTTGCTGGAGTATTTTCCATGTTGTTGTATTTGTCCCCTAGTTCATTCCATGTGGACTGAAGTCTCTGACAATGCCCACACCTGTTAAGAATAGACAGCATATATTTAGTAGAAGTGTAGAGTGAATGGCATTAAAACTGATTAGAATCCAAAGCTTGCACTACCTGTACAGAAGCATCTCTAAATTATGATACATTTTTCCTCATTCACTGTGCTGATGAAAGAAAAACAGAATTTAATCAAATTTCTTAATGGTTCAGCATGACTGTATCTAGTATTCATCCATTCCCAGAGACACAAGGGGACATCGAATTTCCTGAGGTCCAATATCTATGATGAAAGGAACCTCAGGAGATGACAGCGATAGATCACTGACTCAACAAATCTGGCTGTGAATGCAGTTGTGTCATTTACACACACGTGCTAGATGCTTTTTCTTATTCACTCGGGGGATGCAGGCAATGATGGCACAGCCAGCGGTTATTTGCCATCCCTAGTTGCCTTCGTGAGAAGGTGGTGGTGAGCTGCCTTCGCAAACTGCTGCAGTCCATTTGGTGTAGGCACACCCACCATGTCATGGGGGCGGGGTTCCAGGATTTTGACAGAGCGACACTGAAGAAATGGTGTTTTCTTATTTCCAAGTCAGGATGGTGGATGGCTTGGAACGGAACTTGCAGAAGGCAGTGTTCCCATGTATCTGCTGCCCTTGTCCTTCTATGTGGTAGCAGTCATGGATTTGGAAGGTGTTGACAGCCTTAGTGAATATCTGTCCTTGACATCATCATCACTGGAGACCCCACAATCAACATCCTGGGAGGTAATACTGACAGAAAATGAATGGGATTAACCGTATAAATACCGTGACTACAACAGCAGGTCAGAGGCTCGGAATCCTGCAGTGAGTAACTCACCTCCTAACTCCTGACAGCCTGTCCACCATCGAAAAGGCACAAGTCAGTAGTGTGATGGAATACTCACATTTGCCTGGATGAGTGCAGATCCAGCAAAAAAAAATCAAGAAGCTTTGCACCATCTAGGACAAAGCAGCATGCTTGATTGGCATCACATCCACAAACGTTTAATCCCTGAATGCTCAGTAGCAGCAGTGTGTACTAACTACAAAGATGCATATTGAGAATGAGGCCATTCACACAGCCTCCTCCTCAAACTGGTTGCTTAATTGTCCGCCATCATTCATTACTGGTTGTGGAAGAATGAAGAGCTTCGATTTAACCTAATGGTTACTGGGTCACTTCAAAATGTTACTTCTACTGTTTAGCTGTACGTAGTTCTGTGCTATAGCATTAGCAGGGTGACAACTAATTTTATGCGCTGCTTTTGGCATGTTCTCTTTATCGAATCAGACTTGTTCTTTGGCTGGACAATAGTACTGGAGTGAGGGATATGCTGACCTGAGTTTACAGGTTGTGGTTGAACGCAATTCTTTGCTGACAACCCATATCACAAATGCCGCAATTTGAGATGTTAGATCTGCTCTAATCTATCCCAGTTAACGTGGCAGTAATATCACACAACTCAACAAGAGTCATTGTCAGTGTGAATAAGGAAGATGGTCTCGGCATACACTGTGCAGTGGTCACTCCCACCAATACCATCAGTGCCATTTTCACCTATGAGAGGTAGTTTGTTAACTGTAAGGTCAACTAGACTTTTCCGCTCATGCTGGTTCTTTCTTCACCTGCCACAGTCCTAGTCTGGCAGTCCTGGTCTAAGTTCGTTCAGTCAGAAGTGGTATTACTGAGGCACTCTTTGCGATAGGCATCGAATAAAGTATGTACCGCAGTATGCTTTCTCCAAGTAGTGTTCAAGAGGGATGAATACCAATCCATAGCTGCAGGAGAGTAGGAGACTGTAATCTGCAGGAGGTTTCTTCGGCCCAGCAGCCGTAAGATTTCATGTGTGTCGATGTGGCGGTCTCCCATTCTCAGCACTAACCATGTAACAGTACACCACTGTGGTCCAGCCTGAAGTGAATCTTCCCTACCAGCTCAACAGGAACACACCCAAGGATGATGCCTGGGTTACAGCCATCCCATGGAAAAACCTCAACTCTGTATGCAATTGCAGAGGATCAGAGATACAAACTCGTGCCTTGCCATTCCACACATTGCATATTAGTGCTCCAGTATACTCTTCCATAATGATCATACAAGCACGAGTTTTAAGACTGCTATATCTTCCACAGACAATGATATTTTTCATAAAGACTTTAAAACCATCATTTTAACTTCAATAATGTACAAGGCTTAGTACAAACTCAGCTCTTTTTTTTTACTTCTCTCAATTTTCATTTTAATCCAAATAAATCTTGAGTGATGTTAACAAAGTTGACAATTCCCTGTACCATTTATACAATTGCAAAGTTAAAATCCTCCCTGAAGTAAGTCAATTTTTTTTAAACTACAGAAAGATCCAATTAGTCAGATGCACTACATCCACTCAACCATATTCTTTTTCTCAACCAGGTGTACAAACTGTCTGTGCTTAAGGATCTGGTGTAGCTAAAAACCACCTGCTATTTCAAATACCACTTTATAATTTTCCTCTCTCATTGCCTCCCTACGACATTGTGAAGCAGCATAATCTTCATCAGCTTCTCTCCTACAGATCCCGATGGGAATGTCAGATGAAATGCAGGGAGCAATACAGGTCAATCTTTGAGATTCAAATCAGCAGTAGCTGCTGATTGTTATAGAAGTAAAGAAAGTTGAAAAGACTAAATGGAGGCAACATATCATTATACAGCAGCTTAGAGGTTGGGGCCAATTTTGTTGTCCATCAGAAAGCAAAACTAAGAAAAACATGTAAACTACAGATTCCAGTCATAACTTACTAATGTTGATTAGAATGCATGTAAAATTCCCAAAGACTTTCTCATTTATCTGTGCCAGTAACCAACAGTAGATCATGTCTCACATTCATAAAAGAAATGAATACAACATCAAGATCCTATTGCCCAAGTTGGCTCCTTAGTGAATAACCTGTCCCTGATAACAAATGGATCACATTCAAACAGGGTAGACCTTGATCGTTGCTTTTGTCCACTTTCCTACACTCACCCTGTTCCTCAGCATCTCACTTCCAGTTTGACCCAACTCCGCACATTCACCCGTCCCTATCCAGCCAGATTCAGCAGGCTCTCCACTCAATGTTGGATGTGCATTTTCCAATTGGAAAGGAAATTAATAGTCCAATTTAAAACTTGAATGTTCCACAATCACTGGGGATCATATGCTGCATGATAAACATTTTAACCCAACAAGCTAACAGATGTGAGTTACATATTTGACATTAATCTGTCAAGAGAAATGATACTTGTACACGTGGTTGAACATTTCCCTATGATACATGTAGACATGCTGCATATTGTTTACGTGCCTGGAAAAATGAACACCTATAATATCTCTGAAATTATCAACATGCTCTCAACAATCTCTGTATTAGTTACAGATTTAAATTCAAATAGATCAACAGTCCTGGATACAAGGTATCCCCGTGCCTACTATTTTCACTGATCCGATATCAACTGCATGTTCTGCTTAAGTGACGTGTATTCATCCCATGGTGCAGTCCATCCATGGTATAAATCTACTTCAGAAAGTTGAGTTCATTTGAATTTAAATCTTGCAGTTATTAGAAGTAATCAGCCAGAAATCCACTAAAAATTGTGTTATGGGAAGGTGGACACAGGAATATTAGAACAGGACATCATGTAGCCCTCCAAGTTGTTCTCTACCTAACTAACTCTACATACTTGTCTTTGCCCGACTTCCCTTAATATTTGATTAACAGACATCTATCAATTTCTGTTTTTAAGCTAACACGGTCAAGCATTAATTGCCTTTTAGAAAAAGTTGACAGATAATCCACTCTTTTCAAACAGAATCAAATGGAAGGTGAACTGAAGTACTATAACAAATGTTTCAGGATTTTAAAAGCAGATCACACAGCACTGTTGTGAAAAAATCTACTTAAAAAAAACACATTTTTGTAAAATCAGTCATGCCTAACTATGTGTCTGACATGGATGCAACTCAAAAGAAATGATGCCTGAAAGACATATATTTAAGCTATTAATCAAAAATTGATTCTGCACCGAGTTTTCAGAGTCAGCAACCAATGTAACACAGGGCCCTGTTGACAGATTAAACATCAAAAGTTGGTGAAGGAATAAATTGAGGTCATGAGGCACCTGTCTCAGTGTGAGGAGATGCCCTCACTAGACATACATTCAACAAGAAGTCCAACAAGGAAGTACGGGGAAAGGAAGTACAGAGAATGTCAAAGTACAATGAGGAGCCGGGGTGGAGAAGCGCGGTCACCGTAGTTGCAAATCCCATTCATGTTTGCAACTAAGCAAACGCTGAGGGTTTGCAATGTAAAGGTTTAAGATACCACGACTTCCTTTTGCATTTGTTATCAAAAGCACCTCGCCCCAAAGAGCAAACCGCTTTTACAAAAGATTGTTACGTAATATGATTTCCCATCCTTTGCTGCCACGTACACAGCTCCCATAACAACACGTTGGGAATTACAATGGAACACAGGGGCAGATACTGACTAAAGTGAATACTGTAAAAAGTAACACGTATATGATCTTAAACTACCCTCTAGTCCCCTTCCTATGCTCCCCCCTCCCCACCCACCACAACTTTTCTGGGGGAACTGCGGCTGATAATTTTAAACTCCCACTCAACTTTCACTATTCCACCCAATGGAAAGTGTCTAACTTCTCTTTCGCCTACAAAAAGTTTTGTTTCCGCAATTTCCAAAAAAAAAAACAACACAACAAAAAATCCGAGTATATACAGTAACAAAAAAATCGTCAATCTTCCCCCAAAGGCATCTGAATGCAATCAATAATGATAAAAATAAAAGAGATGGCAAACTTTACCAAGGTGCAAAGAACATGATGAAGTGAGGAGCGGTCTGCACGGCGTGGCTGAAGAGCTCGGCGGTGTAAAGGTGTTTGCTGTGATCGTCCTCCTGCTCCTGTACAGAGAAGCGCAGGCTGCCCAGGAGCAGAGAGACCAGCAGGGGTAAGATGGACAGGTAACTGAAGACGGCCATCACTCATTCAACCAAATGCACACACAAACAAACAGCAACAAAATCCAAAAGCTGGGAAATCAGAAGCTAGCGCCTCTGCTTCTCTGTCTGAGAAAGTCTACGTGGTATCACTGCACTACAGCAGCCGCAAACTGAACCAAATGCAGGCAGGCTCAATGGAGAAAGGCTGCCTGCTTTACCACAGCTTCACGCCAGTTCACAGGGTAAAGCAGCGTTCAAACACACACATTTATTCGCTCCGCCTGAAATGTCAATCAAAGCCTCCTCGTTTCCAGTGGGTGGGTCACACGATATTATGCAGCTAGCGTGGTGTCTCTTCGTCAGCATTTCAGTGCTGGCAAGTCAAAGTGAGGAGAGCTCGCAGGAAGGTTACGCTGCAGGATTTAGGATGCGGCATCGAATGTGTACGTGGTCACAGAACAGAAGGAGCTCGTTCAGCCTGTCGTGTCTGTGCTGGTTCTCTGCAACAGTAATTCAACTAGTCTCACTCCCCCGCCTTTCCACACGTAGCTGTGTAATTTATTTGCTCATGGAATAATGATCCAAATTTGTTTTGAAAGCCAAGATTGGGTCTGTCTCCACCACACTTTCAGATAGTGCATTCCATATCCGAACCTTACACTATGTGTAAATAAGTTTCTCCCCATGTTTCTGTTCCTTCTTTTGTCAAAGGTTTGAAACTGTGTGGTTCTTGATCCTTCCACCAAGGGGACAGTTTCTCCCCTCCCTTCCCAGGCCGGATCTATATGTCTTTGAATACTTAGACATGACAGCTCGGATCGAGTGGAAAATGTGATCTGTAACATGTGGGAAGCCATGGGCATACTGGAACCCTGGACGACTATATGTTCAGGACATGTGAGTGGAGAATGATGTTTGTGTTATAAAGTTCAGGATGATAGTGGAGAACGACGTGCAACAATCCACAGTAAGAAAGATCAACTGTGGGAGAGCTGACTTCAAGATCAGAATTGGGCAAAATTGACTGGCAGAAAAGCAGGAAATAAATACGGAACTACCTTCAAAGAGAAGGTTATTTGAGCACTTCCATATTCCTGCAAATGGGAGGGATAAGAGAACTTAATCCAGAGTTGCCTGGATTACAAAGTAGGTAGAAACTAACATCAGAAAGAAAATTTGTGTTTACGAGAGGTGAAAGGCAGAAAATACAATTGAGGAACAAAAAGAATACAAGAGGTTTAAAGGAAAGTGAAAAAGCACATAGGAGAAGGAAAGAGGAATTATACAGTCGTGGAGCCGTGCAGCATGGAAACAGTCCCTTCAGTCCAACTGGTCCATGCTGACCAAATATCCTAAATTTATCCAGCCCCATTTGCCAGCATTTGGCCCATATCCCTCTAAACCCTTCCTATTCATGTACCCACCCAGATGCCTTTAAAATGTTGTAATCGTACCAGCCTCTGCCACTTCCTCTGGCAGATCATTCCATACACACACCACCCTCTGCGTGAAACAGTTGTCTTAGGTCCCTTTTAAATCTTTTCCTTCTCACTTGAAACCTATTCCCTATAGTTTTGGACTCTGCTACCCTGGGGAAAAGACCTTGGCTATTCACCCTATCTGCGCCCCCTCATGATTTTATAAACTTCTATAAGGTCACCCCTCAGCCACCGACGCTCCGGGGAAAATAGCCCCAGTCTATTCAGCCTCTCCCTATAGCTCAAACCCTCCAACCCTGGCAACATCCTCGTAAATCTTTTCTGAACACTTTCAAGATTAACAACATCCTTTCTAAAGCAGGGAGACCAGAACTGAACACGAATTCCAAAAGTGGCCTAACCAATGTCCTTTACAGCTGCAACACAACCTCCCAACTCCTATACTCAATGCACTGACCAATAAAGGCAAGCATACCAAATGTCTTCTTCACTATCCTGTTGACCTGCAATTCTACTTTCAAGGAACTATGAACCTGCATTCCAAGGTCTCTTTGTTCAGCAACACTCCCCAGGACCTTGCCATTAAGTGCCTTTCCAAAATGCAGCACCTCACATATATCTAACTTAAACTCCATCTGCAGTTCCTTGACCCACCAGCCCATCTGACCAAGGTCCCGTTGTACTCTGAGGTAATCTTCTTCGCTTCCCACTACACCACTGATTTCGGTGTCAATTGGTTTTTAATTATGAGAAAAGACAAGCAGCTAATACAAAAGGGAATCCCAAAGTCTTCTATAAGCATATAGATAGTTAAAGAATGGTAAAAGGAGGAGTAGTCCCAAGTAGATATTGAGAAAGGGATTTACAGATGGAGTCAGGGGCACCATTGAGGTGTTAAATAAATACTTTGTACTGTCTTTACACAAGAGGAGGTGGTGACAGAGGATGATACTTTGGCCATAATCCTTTAGTCTTCCTCAGACAAGGGGGAGGTGCCAGAGGATAGGAGCATTACAAACACTGTTGCCTTTTTCAAGAAAGGTTATGTGGAAATCACAGCAATTATAGCCAGATAGTTTAACTTCAGTGGTGGAAAAGCTTCTAGAAACAATTAATTGGGATAAAATTAGTAGTCACATGGAAAATGATGGACTGTTTGGGAAGACTTGGCATGTTTTTCTAAAGGGGAAATTGTGTTTAGTTAAATTGCTGGAATTTTTTTAAACAGTTAGCAGAAAGTTTGATGAGGTTAATGCAACAAATGTGGTATGCATAGATTTCCAGAAACTGTATTATATAATACCACAGAACAGACTTGTGAGGAATGTTATAGGTCATAGTATGACAAGGACAGTAGCAAAATGATACAAAATTGGCTGAGTGATAGGCAACTGAGAGTAATGGTTAATGGATATTTTTTAGACTGGAGGATCGCTTGTGTGGAGGATCATGTGGAACTCCAAAAGGACATTGACAAGATGGTGGAGTGGGCATCTAGGTGACAGATGATGTTCAAAGCAGAGTAGTATAAGGAGATGCACTTTGAAAGAAAATTGAAAAACAATATAAAATAGGTACAATCCTAATATGGAGTACAGATGCAGAGGGACTTGTGTGTATATGTTCACAGATCATTGAAGGTGGCAGGGCAAGTAGAATAGCATTTAATAAAGCATGCAGTGTCTTAAGCTTTACTAATACAGGCAGAGAGAACAAGAGCAAGGAGGCAATGTTGAACTTGTACAAGACATTTAGAACCATAGAGTTGTACAGCATGGAAACAAACCCTTCAGTCTAACTTGTCCATGCCGACCAGATATCCTAAATTAATCTAGTCCCATTTGCCAGCATTTGGCCCATATCCCTCTAAACCCTTCCTATTCATATACCCATCCAGATGCCTTTCAAATGTTGTAATTGTACCAGCCCCCATCACTTCCTCTGGCGGCTCATTCCATACACACACCACCCTCTGTGTGAAAAAGGTGCCCCTCCTGTCCCTTTTAAGTCTTTTCCCTCTCACCTTAAACCTTTACCCTCTAGTTTTGGACTCCCCTAGCCTGGGAAAAAGACCTTGGCTATTCACCCTATCCATGCCCCTTATGATTTTATGAACCTCCATAAAGACACCCCTCAGCCTCTGATGTTCTAGGGAAAATAGCCCCAGCCTACTCTATCTTTCCCTGTACTGCAAACAATCCAACCCCAGTAACATTCTTGCAAATCTTTTCTGCACCCTTTCAAGTTTAACAGCATCTTTCACAAAGCATAGAGACTAGAACTGAACACAGTACTCCAAAAGTGGCCTAACCAATGTTCTGCACAGCTGCAACATGACATCCCAACTGGTATACTCAATGCACTGAGACCATTAAAGGCAAGCATACCAAACGCCTTCTTCACTACACAAACAGAAATTGCTGGGAAAGCTCAGCAGGTCCAGTAGCATCTTTGGTGAGAAATTAGAGTTAACATTTCAGGTCGAGTGACCCCTCCTCAGAACTGAAGAATGGTCACTTGACCCAAAATGTTAACTCTGATTTCTCTCCATAATTGCTACCAGACCTGTTGAGCTTTTCCAAAAACGTCTGTTTTCGTTTCTGATTTACAGCATCAACAGTTCTTTCGGCTTTCTTCATTACCCTATCTACCTGCAACTCCACCTTCAAAGAAATATGAACCTGTATCCCAAGGTCTCTTTGTTCAGCAACACTCCCTAGGACCCTACCATTAAGTGTAACATCCTGCCCTGATTTGCCTTACCAAAGTGCAGCACCTCACATTTATCTAAATTAAACTCCATCTGCCGCTCCTCGGCCCATTGGTCCATCTGATCAAGGTTCCATTGTACTCTGAGATAACCTTCTTCACTGTCCACTACAACACCAATTTTTGTGTCATCTTCAAACTTATTAACCATTCCTCCTATATTCACATTCAAATCATTTATATAAATAACAAAAAGCAGTGGATCCAGCACCGATCCTTGTAGCACACCGCTGGTCACAGCCCTCCAGTCCAAAAAAAACAATCCACCACCACCCTCCATCTCCTGCCCTCAAGCCAATTTTGTATCCAAATGGCTAGTTCTCCCTAGATTCCATGTGATCTAACCTTGCAAACCAGTCTACCACGTGGAATCCTGTCAAACACCTTGCTGAAGTCCATACAGACAACATGCACTGCTCTGCCTTTATCAATCTTCTTTGTCACTTCTTAAAAAATCTCAGTCAAGTTATTGTCGGACCTTAGCTGGAATATTATGTACAATTGTGGGCACAATGTTATAGGGAAGATATGATCGCATAGGAGTGAGTGCAGAAACAATTTACAAGAATAGTTTGAGGAATGAGAAACGCTGGGGATTGATTAGCTTAGTTGGATGGACAGCTAGGTTGCAATACAGAGAGATACTAACAGCTTGGATTCAATTCTATCACTGGCTGAGGTTACCACAAAGGACTGTTCTTCTCAACATCTCCCGTCACCTAGAGGGTGGTGGTGACCCTCAGGTTAAACCATCACCAGTTGTCTCTCTAATGAGAGAGTAGGACTATGGTGATTTTACCCTTCAGTTGGGCTACACTATGTACTGTCTGGAAGTGTAGTGGAAGCAGGTTCAGTTGAAGCATTCAAGGAGGCATTGGACAATTATTTGGATAGAAATAGTGTGCAAGGGTATGGAGTAAAAAGTAGAAGATTGGCACCAGGTAACGATGCTCATTTGAGGAGCTGGTGAAGGCAGGATGGCATCTTTCTGCACCTTATCAGTTCTGTGATTTTATCAATAGGCAGAGGAGTGTATGAGGCATTTCCACTCAT